TATAATCACACTCACACCACACACGCACACACACACACACGAACACTATATACACCAGACAACACACACACCAAATACATACTAACACAAATTTATAAAGATGATAGTAAAAACGTCACGTCTACCTAAATACCTTCATATGTATGTGCGTATACAAGCTTACACGTGTGTGCTTGCATAGATTTGCGCTAAGTTTTGTCAAGGCACGCAATTCTTATGAAAGCCCAATTATAACTATTAGAAAGAGGCAATAAAGACACACACGCACACGCGTGCACATACACGAACACATACACACAAACATATATGCACATACACACGCACACACACACGCGCACATACACATACACACACGCGCACATACACATACACGCATATTAATCCTTAAACGTTATTGTCACCATTTTATTGTTACCATGCTAATCATCTTAACTGACAGTAATTTCTTTGAAATCTTTTTAATTTTAATGATCGTTACCATCACCGCTAACAACAACCACATCATCATCATCAACAACATCATCGTCATCATCATCACCAGCACCGTCATTCACTGCCATTTTTCAAAATGACGTCATCATTATTTTTATCACTTTCATCGTGATGTCATTTTTTTAAAGTTGTCTCCCTTCAATTTATTTTTACTTTCTTTGTTGGTTAGTTTTTTTTTCTGAAATTTATTTTAAAGAAGAAGATTTTCATCATTATCATCGTCGTAGTCGTCGTCTTCATCATCATCGTCGTCGTCTTCATCATCACCACCATCATTGAAAACATTAAATTTATTATCAAAATTTTCATAACTATCATTCATTCGTTCATTCATTAGCTCATTTATTCATTTTTTTAAATTATTCCTTTATTCATTTGTCAATCAATCAACCAATTAATCAATAATTCAATCAATAATTCAATCAATCAATTAATCAATCAATCAATCTATTCATCCGTCCAAGAGTTCAAATGTTCGATCATTTATTCATTCACTAATCCATCCATTCATCCTTCCATCCTTCCATTCATCAATTCATCCATCCTTCCATTCATCCATCCATCCTTCCATTCATCCTTCCATTCATCCATCCATCGTAAATTGGAATGACGTATGAAATAATTACCACTATAAAAATGACGCCAACGTACTCGCTTCAATTGTCAGTCAATCAAACGTCCCAACATAGTATGTCTAAAGACACGCACACACACACACACACACACACACTCACGCACACCTACACACACACAGATATACATATACATACACATACATACATACACACATACATTGTGTAATACGTTACATTGCAGCGTTATTTTATTGGTATTTGCTAGAACTCGAAAAACTGAAATACATGCATACACTCACACACACACACACATATATATATATATATATATACACTCACACACATGCAAACACACACACATGCAAATACACACGCATACACACACACGCAAATACACACGCATACACTCACATATACACACATGCAAGCACACATACTCAATGTCTATTCATAAACGTGTTAAATATATTTTTTTCTCCATTTATAAGCTTCATTTATTTTGAATTGATATCTAAGTGAGGCATTTTTCTAAAATATTTCGTACTAATTAGTCACTTTGATGGTCCTCATGAAAGGCATGTAGTAGATGTTTCGTA